TCCCGCTCCATTTTTTTCATCTTCTTGGAAGAATTTGAGCATTTGTTGGGCGATGATAGTGCTAATGATTATATAGGGAAAACGAGGGTGAAGAAAAGAGAAGTGGGCCGAGGTTTTGTGCTCATGTCTCGAAGAGAGAGAGAGAGAGAGAGAGAGAGAGAGAGACCTTTTATATATTTAATTATGTTTATTTTTTTTTAAAAAATACGAGAAAACATCATAAATGATCCCTGTGGTGGTGAAATGACGAAAATACCCTTTAGTTAACGGACAAACTTAACGGAGTTAGCAAAAAAGACCAAACATCAAAAGTTTTGAAAACACAGGGACCATCTATGAGGTTTTTAAACCACGGGGACTAAACTTCAGATTTTGGGCAACCACAGGGACATTTATGATGTTTTTTCTTTAAAAAACAATGAAAAAAAACCGTTACCATTTGAAGAAAAAAAAAAAAAAAAAAACACGATAAGAAGGGTTGGTAACTTGGTCTGGGCACCTCTACTTTTACAATTGAAATGGAAAGGCCACCCATATTGGGGGTATTTTGGTGAATTCGCTCTTCACCCAGAACACGTATAAATTTTGGTAGTGGTTCAGACTAATCGAGTCCACCACTACCAACTCCTCTTTACCGGAGAAACAATTTTCACCAGAAAAAAATAATAATAATAACAAATGGCAACGGAAATCAGCAAGATTCTGGTCATCGGAGGAACTGGGTACATCGGAAAATTCGTGGTCGACGCTAGTGCAAAGGCCGGCCATCCAACCTCCGTTCTGGTTCGAGAATCCACGGTGGCGGACCCTGTGAAGGGTAAGCTTGTCCAGAGCTTCAAGAACTCCGGCGTCACTCTTGTTTACGTATGTTTCATGATTTTCGTCATTATAAACATGTGTTGTTTTTTTTTTTTTTTGGTATTAATTTAAGAATTAATTGACGTTTGATGATGAACAGGGTGATCTCAACGATCATGAAAGCTTGGTGAACGCGATTAAGCAGGTAGATGTGGTGATATCAACCGTCGGTAATATGCAAATACCAGATCAAACCAAAATCATTGCCGCCATTAAAGAAGCTGGAAATGTTAAGGTGTGTTTGGACACCATTAACCCTAAAAAACCTTTTAATCCATAACGTTGTACTAATTTGTTACAAATTGATTACAATCGCATGGGAAAATTTTACAAACTGATACTGAATCGTGTTTTGGTTTAGAGGTTTTTCCCATCGGAGTTTGGGGTAGATGTGGATCGTCAAAATGCAGTTGAGCCGGCGAGTTCCACATTTGCAGGGAAAGTGCAGATCCGTAGAGCGATTGAGGCCGCAGGGATTCCGTTCACGTACGTCGCTTCCGGCTGCTTCGCCGGCTACTTCCTGCCGACGATGGTTCAGGCCGGAGCCACCGCTCCTCCGAGAGATAAAGTAACCATCCTTGGCGATGGAAATCCCAAAGGTAAAAGATTATCTTTAATCATACTTTTAAAACACAAAAATGAAGTTGAATAAATCTCTTCAAACCACATTCTAAAAGCACAATAATCGTGACACACTATTGTCACATATATTCTTGAATACTTTGATATTAAAAGTTAACTATCTACACGACTACACACAATATATAATTATAAAAATTTCATGAAAAAACTTTAAAAATATTAAAAAGGTAAATTAGCTAAACTAACACATCATGTGCGTGTAAAGAAAATAATTTTTTTTCAAAATAACCACTAATACGGAATGAGGCGTTTCAGACAGCATAAAAACACTTTCTCTGACAAAAAATGCATTTCGCACTGCCATCGGATTCCGGACTGACATTCCAGATTTCTGACTACAACTTTAGAGTCCAAAAAAAACCTCCTCAATTTCAAGAATAAATCAAAAATTAAATCGGATGAATAATTCTCTAATTTCAAGAATTTTTTTGTTTTTATTAAAATATAACAAAAAATTTAAACAAACATAATAAATAAGAACTATATACAATATTAAGACTAAAATCAGATATTTGATTGAAAACGTTGATATTAAAAGTTACGAAATGAACATTTAGGACATAAATAAACATATTTTTTTTGAAATTTTTTTGCAAAAATAGGAAAAAAAAACTGAGAATTTTGAAGAAGATGAATGAAATATTTGAGAGAAAGTAGTCATTTTTTCAAAAACTGAAAAAAAATTAATTTGATTTAAATAGCTCATTTAGAATGATTAGTTTAATGAATTCCCCAATATATTAAATATAATATTTAAAGCTTATTATTATAAATTCAAAATTTTGATAACGTAAAATATTGTCATAAATTAAATAATATCTATTTACATATTATAATTGTTACAGTCTAATAAATAACATAAAAATAAAAAGATATGTTATTTATTATTAAGATGTTAAAAATATGTTTTTTTGATATATATTTGTAGTTATTTACAACGAAGAACATGACATTGGTACCTACACAATCAAAGCTGTGGATGACCCCAGAACATTAAACAAAATTCTTTACATTAAACCCTCGAAAAACACATTCTCTTTCAATGATCTTGTTTCCCTATGGGAGAAGAAGATCGGCAAATCCTTGGAAAAAGATTATGTTCCTGAGGAACAAGTTCTCAAGCTTATTCAAGGTATGCAATTGAACCATAAATGTTCGTTTTGGTTTTATTTTTAAATAATTTTCTGTTTTTCATATTTGGTCTATGTGATTTTTCAGAGTCTGGATTTCCGATTAATATTTTCTTAGCGATCAACCACTCGATCTTTGTCAAGGGAGATCTTGACAACTTTGAGATAGAACCGTCATTTGGTGTTGAGGCTTCTGAGCTATATCCGGATGTGAAATACACTACCGTTGAGGAATACCTTGATCAATTTGTTTGATTTAATCAAGTTTTCCATATGATCATGGTTTGGTTTGGTTTGGTTTGGTTTGGTTTGTAATGTAATGTTGTATTGGGTGTCTTATAATAGAAATGTTGATCAATATGATGTTTTGTCGAATAAAATTTGGGTCTTTGATTATCAAATCCACAAGTAATACGACATTTTGTGAATAAAACCCAAAATGTCGATGACCCATGAACCTTGAAATCAAATTATCCCAACACAATTGCTTTTAGGGTGGTATGCTTCTTGGGTTCGGTACCACCGATAAGTACCGACGGAACTACTGTCTCAGCTTTCTCGGTATCTTCCGATCAAAACCAAGCCGATGTGAGTCTTCCGACTTCCATGCTGACCTTCCCTCGCCCTTTGTTTCTTCTTTTCTCACACGTTCTTTCTTGCATTTTGAACTTGTACTTTGTGCATCTTCATAAATATAAAAAAATGAGGAATGAGAGATATGACCATTTCCTATGTTTATGGTTATGAGGGTTGGAGGTGAGAGAAGAGAAAAAAGCTTATGACATCTGAGAGGGCTCAAATATGTGTCATCCCTCTCAACTCTCATGTCACATAAACGTCACATCATCTACTTCTCTCCTTCTCTTCAATTCAGTCCAATCCTAAACATAAGGAGTGATACACTCATATCCTACACAATTTGGTGTAAATATACAAGCACAAAGTACAACTAGCCAATGGAAAAGCTTTGAGGGATGCTTGGGTTAAGGAAGTCGCATTGGCTTTGATTTTGCTGATACCTGCTTGGTCTGAATCATGTTGCCATCGGTACCACCACCATGCAGGACTCCACCCCGAAGGCACTCTATGACTCTGTCCACCCCAACATGCCATTATATTTAATTTACATGTAAGACGATACTTCTAGAAGAAGTCTTCAATGCACACAAGTTTAATCAAACCTTAACCGCTTATAATCGGCCCATGGGCTAAACCCAAATTTTATAATCGTACCTCCTATAACCGGTTACAGACAGTAATAGAGTCTTGTCAAGAAAATCAGTTGTAACCGAAATAAAAAAAAAATTTATTTAAGAAGCTTCTTAACAATAAAACTGTTAACATATTCTCTACTTTAAGTCTTTAATCAAACATATATTTACTTTATGTATTATAAAAATAAAAGAATTTCTTCTATGAAACATAATACTCTCCAAAAATCCAAAAACTTTTAAAACTCTGACGATATGGATTGGATTCTTTTAAGCTTGTTTTAGGGTGTGTTCATCACGAAACGTTTATGAGCGTTTCGGAGCTTCTAGCTTTTAGCGTTTGATAAATGTTCCGTTTTGAATAGAAAGTCTCATTTGACACTACAAGCTTCTAGCGTTTAATTTAAACAAAACGCTCGAAATCCAAAAGTTACCTCACGTAGCGTTTAACAAAACGCTACCAATTAGCAGTTAGTTTTGCCGAACACGCTATTCTTGAATATTTTTGAAACTCGTCTTATCAAATTATTTTTAAAACCGTCTTCAATCATATAATGTTTGACAAGTATATGGATTAAAATTTTTGATTTCTTATTCAAACCAAAAAAACTACATCCCTATTTATAAACATACAAGAAGGGTAAAACCAAAAGATCTCCAACTAACTATAAAGCCATTATGCTTAAAAATTCATTTAAATACAAAACACGTTGTACTATCGGCATAAATTAGACAATGATTGAGACCAGTATCATTTAAACAAAAATTGCAATTTTTTTGATAAGAAGACAAATATTTTTTAACAATCCTTCATTTTTTGATAAGAAGACAAATTTTTTTGGATGTCCTGCTCATGCTTAGTATAAAAAATGGCCCCATAAAGTTTGTTGAGTCTTTTCCATATAACATAGGGCATCCAAATGCATCTAACAATCTAATAGGGTAAATATAACTTTGATGTAATAATAGTACTATGTGTTTGTTTATCATTCCATCATTTACTAGTTACAGCCACTTTAATCATATACATTGTGAATGTAAATACAAAGACAAAGCAATAAATAAACAACTCGATTGTTATTAGTTACTCAATTAATAAATATGTTTGTACCCTTAAACAAATATTCACAAACAACAAAATTAAGATTGTGATATGGTAGGTACATGATTCTTATTCGTTGCTAGCTCATTCACCTTTCACCAAACATCGTTAATTGAATAATTGTTAATAAAAAAGCGAAGAAAAAACTACACCCAGCTACAGATAACCTGATCACGATCAATGTTTCACTAGAGCTTTTCTTGGGTATCTTTGCGTCACTGCAATTTGAACACCACCAGAACCACAAGGTGCAGGCGCTAGTGCAGGTGGACTTGCGGTGGATACAAGTGTTCTTCTTGACAAGAAAGTCATCCCCTCGACCTCCTCCGGTTCATCTATACAAATCATACACAATTATGAATGCTTTTAACTTAAAAAAAACACTTAACAGAGAAAGTCAAAAAATTGACATTTATGATGTCATTTTCTTAAATATTTTGTTAAATATCATTTATCCAGCATCGAAAAAAAAAGTATAATTGTCAATATTATGAATGTACATACCGGAATAATTTGAAGAGGACATGCGAACCAGGATAGGCGTGACAATGGTGAGAGCTGCCCAAAAGAATAGTATCACAAGAGAGGTTCTTACGGACATTTCTTTCTTGTACAAGTATTTGACAAGATAAAGCTTGAATACTTTGATGGAGGGATTATATATATCAGCCAGAATTGGTGAAGACCCTACAAAAAGAAAACAGATATTAGCTAGCAATGCTTTATAAAATGGAAATTATTAATCACAGGATGCTTAAAGTAAGAAGAATGTTCAAAACCCATATCAAAATTGCTAATATTATATGCGTTTTTTATTTTTTTAATGTTAAAGTCAACCGTACTAGGCAATGACCTTCGAAACTCTCTAGTAGTTGGGAAGTGGTTGTTACAGTTTGGTGACAGAACCCATCTGGCATCTCCAAGATAAAATTTCCATTTTGTAAGGTCAAAATCGTAATGGCACACACCTGTTTTCTCAAGCTGAACTAATCAAAGAAGACCCACCTGTTTTATATATATATATATATATATATATATATATATATATATATATATATATATATATATATATATATAGGGCTTAGAGAATATGTGGCTGTCATATACCTAAACTTATATATAGAACCCTCCAAACAATGTAGTTTTGATTCATTTATATTCAAACTAATAATGATAATGTGACTTACTAAATCGATTAAATTTATGTTCTTTTTTTTAATTTTGTCTAAGAATTTAAATCATTAAAAGTCGTGACCATTTAATCAACCCTATTAAATTTTAAATGAAAACTAATAAAATAAAAGATAAAAGAAGAAAATGTGATAACTCAATCAAACTTTTCACAAAATCATTGGATACAGTCTTTTAATTGAAAGACAAAATGCTTGAGTTATATTCGTTAAAAAATATTGGTTTTTTATTTTCTCTATAAACTTCAATAATTATTTACAATAAAAATATATATAATTGATCTTTTTCATTCCATAATTGAACTTAATTCAATGTTATTCTATTAAAATAAAACTAAGAGAAAATGAAATTGGATTTGTTTTGTTTAAAACTACGTCCTTTAAAATGGTCTATACCCACGCTTAGATACATAACAGCCATATATTCACTTTTCCCATATATATATATATATATATATATATATATATATATATATATATATATATATATATATATATATGCGAAAAGTGAATATACCATTAAGGATATATAAACTTAGGTACCCAAACTCATCATATTGCGACGTTTTGTATCTTATATACGTTGTAATTATCTAATGTTCTTATAATTCAACTTCTAACCTGATTTACTTCCAAGATTGTTATAAATTTCACATTTATCTTCCATTTACATAATTTTTATTTTCAACCATAATATATATAGCCTAGTACGTATTCGGAAAAAAGATGTGATGTAAGAGAACGATAATAATGCAATTTCGAAATTTTTGAAAGTAAATCAAGTTATGAATTGAAGTTTAAGAACATTATAATGAATATATGAAACAAAACGAGGTATTATAGTGGGTTTGGATACCTAAGCTTATATATCCTTAAGTGTATATTCACTTTTCCATATATATATATATATATATATATATATATATATATATATATATATATATATATATAAGAGTTCATTTGAGACCGACATAATTTTGTGAGACCATGAGACCAAATTTTTTTATTGAAATATTCTAATATTCAATTGTTTGTAAAAATAGAGTATGCAATATATTCTAACATTATATGTTTTAGAATATTTCAATGTAAAATATGTTAAAATTATTGTTTTAGAATATTACACATATTTAATTTTTATGAACACTAGAATATTAGAATGTTTCACTAGAAAAGTGGTCTCACGGTCTCACAAAATTAGGCTGTATCACATTAATCTAACGACAAATAAGAAATATATGGTTGAGGTTGAATCTCTAAATCACTAGCTTTTTTATAATATATATATATATATATATATATATATATATATATATATTATAAAAAAGATAGTGATTCGGAGATTCAACTTCAACCATATATTTCTTATTTGTCGTTCTAACCACCGGCGTACCGGCACAGCCAGAAAATTTATAATCATAAATGATTATGCAGCACCACGATTCCTTTTTCCTCCACCACCTTCCTCACCACCACAATCGCCACAACCATCACCACCAACCCGTCGCCAACCGACCGCACTACTGGTTTGGAAATTTGTAGCTTCATCCTCTAAATCTGTAGTTGTCAACGTCATCTCTTAGCTTATTGCTCTGATTAACACCCCATTCTCTCGTTTGTCTCCACTCGCATTCTTTGTAAATCACATCTCTTAATCAATTGATAGATAATCTATGTACTCAATGTTAATTAATGAAAAAACAGAGCTCCAAAAGTTCAATCTTGTTTCTTTGAAACAAATAGGGAAAAAAGCAATGTATCAATCAAATGAATAAGATTTTTTTTTAATTTAATTGAAAAATAAACAAAAAATAGATCTTGTTATATTTAATTGTAGTTAGAATGGATTCTTAATAAGAATTTTTTATATGTAATTGTAGTTATACTACGAGATCAATAAAGCATCATGGTTCAATTGGAACGCTAAGCTCATCACTGATGTCATTGCTTGACTTTACATATGCATTGGATTGATGCATATGTTTTTTTCACATAGTTTTTTAACAAAAAATGCACAGTAAGAAATATGGCTTTATACGAATGATGTATGCATTTTATTGTTGCAGATTACTTCCATTTCACACTTGTCTGTCACCAACGAAATCTAATATCATAATTGGTTTTGTAATATGAAATTCATCATATATTTCTGCATTTTTATCCATTCCTGCTCTTGTTTCATCTTTCCTTTTCTTTTTGCTTTGTATCTAGGATTCTTTGTTATACATCGATGTCTTGAAGGAAGAAGGCTCTAGTATTGTCGTTTGCATAACACTAACTTAAGATGCAATCGGAGTATTAGAAACACATTTTTACCTACATGTTTGCTTCTTCCTTCCACCTTAAGCCTAAATAGCATGTATATATACTTCCAATTTACCTTCTCTTCTAATGTTCTGATTCTTTTGATTTGATATAAGCGTTTCCTCTTTGATTTTTGGTTATTAAGCGGTCAATGCATAAAATGGTAACAACCAATAAGTGTTTAATACTTTTTATGTTTCTTAATTTATTTCATATTGTCATATATTAATTAGCCACCCATGGTTGTGTATGCCCAGTTTTGCAGTTAATTTTGTTTTATTTATGTTTTCTTAGTATTATTTCCGCCACTTGTTAACAATTTTATCATTTATACTTTATTTGTATACTATACATCATGATTTTTGTTCAAATAACTTGTATGTTTTTGTTTCTTCTTTCTCATTACCTGATGATATATATGTGTGCTCTTTGGATAAAGGGAAAATTACATAAAACCCATTTTATTTTGTGTCCAACCACTATTTTTGTTTCATCAATGAAAACCACTCACGTCTAAAACATTTTTAATATGTTAAAGTGGTCAATATAGAATTTTTTGTCAAAATGTAATAGCATTAGTGTCTAAATATTCCACTAAAGCTATTGCAGATTGACAAAGGTTTACAGTGTGACACCAGAAAAGAAGTCACATGAGTTACGAGAAGCTTGTTGCTTTTGATTTTGTATCTGATGTCTGAAAATTTCATTTGATGATTATTTAGTAAATATTAGGAAAATAAATGGATTCTCAGTACCAAAATACATAACTTTCCACTATTTCGTTTTATTTGAAGAGGTTTTTAACTTTTTATCATTAGAAAACAATGCTTTCCTGTATTTTACATTAACGAATCAACCATTCCTAGAATTATAAGTGTTTCTTTAATGTAGCATGCAAAACGGAACAAAGATAAATAAGAGTGAGCCTGTTGATTCTAACATAATACACAGGACAATCTCTTCAAAACCACGCTGATTCTACGAATACCGTGGGATTGGCTTCAAAATCTAGTCTAACACACACATAATTTTGGGAGAAAACTGAAAGTTTAATAGTTTATAAAACTGATGAATGATTATCCAAATTACATCAGTTACACATAAATAAAGAACATAGTTTAAAACGGGCCTCAAAACAACCATGGGCCAAACACAAACCAAAAAACAAAACGCAAAAATAATGAAAAACCCACAAAATTGTCTATAACTCCATTTAGAAAGCGATTTCTAGACTCAAAAATGGGTAAGTCCCCTTATGGCACTTATCACGTGCTCCTTGTTCCAAGCTTCAGTTTGACTGGTCGTAGGCCCAAAACGGAGTCCCATAGCCAAAGTTACGGCCATTTCCATGAAGCTCCTTTCGTCTCTCGATCATTAATCTCTAGGAACATAAGTGCCCGATCCTCCACACTAAGGGCCGCATCATCCCCTCCTGGGTAGACAAAATTCGACCTCGAATATGAACCATGCTCATCATCTGTAGAATCCCCATGAAAAGGAAGCAAATGTTTGACATTGAAAACATCATAACAACGAATGTGACTTGGAAACTTCAGACGGTAAGCATTGTAATTGATCTTATCCACAATCTCCATGGGTCCAATCTTCTTGGCTGATAGCTTGTTGTACTCACCAATCGAAAAATGATCCTTAGTCAAAACATCCCAAACAAAGTCACCCACCTCAAAATCAACTTGTATGCGTTTCTTATCTGCATCTTGTTTGTACTTGGAGTTGGCTTGAACCAAGTTGTCATGAACAACCTTATGAACACCATGTAGTCCCTCCATGAAATCCTGCACTTTTTTTTTGGAACAACACAAGAAACAGAAAGTGTCATCAAATCAAGTGGTCCTCGTTGTTGGGTAGAATAGACCACCTGAAACGGACTAAATCCAGTACTTCTGTTAACAACATGACTATGAGTGAACTCAGCTTGTCATTGTTTCTAATCCCAGGTCTTCACATGTTCACCCACTAGACACCGCAAAAGGGTACTAAGGGATCAATTGACAACTTCTGTTTTCCCATCCGTTTGAGGATGATAGGCACTGCTAAAATTGAGCTGATTGTTCACCATTTTCCACAAGCTATGCCAAAAGTGACTCAAAAACCTAGTGTCTCGATCTGAAACAATAGAAGATGGCAATCCATGCAAACGATAGATATCACAGAAGAATAACTGAGCCACAATAACTGTGACTGTCATCTTTTTGCAAGGGATAAAGTGCACCATCTTAGAAAAATGATCAACAATAACAAATATTGAATCATTACCCCGTTGAGTATGTGGTAATCCCAACACAAAATCCATGTTGATATCCACCCAGGGTTGTGATGGAATAGGTAAAAGCATATAAAGCCCAACATTTGTGGCTGTGCCCTTTGAAAACTGGCAGGTTCTGCACCGTTTAACATATCGA